CACCAGTAGGCAACGGGTGAAGTGTCTTGCCCAAGGACACAACGACCGAGACTGTCCGAGCCGGGGCTCGAACCGGCAACCTTCCAATTACAAGGCGAACCCACAACTCTTGAGCCACAATCACCCCAATGGTACTAGAACAGGTGACCCAGATTAAATTACTTGGTGTTACTATAAACCACCACCTTTCATGGTCTCAGCACATTGACTGTGTTATTAAGAAAATGGGACAGTGCATAGCTATGGCTAGGAAATGCTCCTTTTATATTACTTTTTCAATTATGAAAGGTGTCATTAATGCACTAGTATTATCTCATCTAGAGTACTGTTCAATCATTTGGTCAGCAGCTAATAAGACAGATCTGATCAGACTTCAGTTAGTCAAGAACGAGGCAGCCAGATTAGTGTTAAGGTGTTCAAACTATAGAAATATCTATAACTTTCTTTGCTTTCAAATAAGCTAAATTATACTATGGCTTACTTGTATTTTTTAAGAAAGCAATACTTTTAAAGACACCATATTTTTTTTCTGCTCAGTTGCAGTATCCAGATGAAATACATAATCATAGTACATGATTTTCAACAAAACACAATTTGGTAACTCCTCAACTTAAAAGTTGAGAAAGTAAACTGCCATCGGTCAAGAGAGGTAGCCCTCTGGAGCCTAAGATTGGCCAAGCCGAGTTAAAAAAAAAAAAAAAAGTAATGACGTAAGATGTTAAGGTAACAAGTGTGCAATAGAGGGCAGATGGGGCAGAGTTCATCAATATTGAGACAAAACAGGATGTTTTCCAGAGTAATGGTATCTTCTCCTGGCTCAAACTAAGATTGAAGATGTGCTGTAAAAATGGACCTTCCATGACCTTCCAAGCTATATAGTTTGTCTTCCATATTTCCAACTATATCCATCACATACTGTGTATGCTACCATTGTATATAGTGTATTATCTTACTTTTTTCATTGATTGTACTTAATTGTATTTTTGTATTTCCTTCATATATCTGTACCTGAGCTGAGGTGAGTTTGGATGGGTCCTAGACTTAAGGTGTTAAACACATTGGCTCTATTTAGGTTTCCCACGGTTTAATAGTTCTTGTTCTGTGATCTTTTTCATTCCTGACCACACATCTTTCGTTTTCCCTGATCTTGTTTTCTGCCTGTTTTTGTAAATAATGTACCACTTTATAATATACCTCCTGTCCCTATAATGGTTTTCTCTTTTTCTTTTTATTGGCTTTACCTACAATGGCCATAATACTATCAGAAATACTTCAGAGATTAAGCAATAAAAAAATGCCCTGGTCTGAATTCTTCCTGACAAAAAAAGAAGGTAAGTCAGAGTAAATTATCACTTCGAAGACTTCTCTTATAGTAGGGTTTTAAATGTTTAGCTTTTGGACTGAAACGGTCAAAATACTATGGTTTAGTATCATATCAGTCTTCTGTCAGTTTAGTGCCAGCACAACAAAAACACAGTTTCTGACCTCAGAGTCTCCAGTCTACATTGCCGACTCTCCAGAAAACCACACAACTGTTTCATTCCCGAATCCTGCAGCTTGTTCCCTCTCAGGTCCAGATGTTTAAGATGGGAAGGGTTAGACTTCAGAGCTGCAAACAGGCAGCTGGTCTCTGACAAACTGCAGCTCCTCAATCTGAATAAAGCATAGGAAGTATTATCTGTTTAGAGATGAAAAAGATCCAGAATGTAGAAGTTGAACACAGAAGCTGAAAATTAAAATTCTAAATGAAGTATAACAAATACCAAAATATAAACAAAACAATGAGTGAAACAAATTAATGACTGTATACTTCTGTTTCACTAAATATGGAAATATTAAGATGATGTTCCTATGAGATATATATGTAAGTATGTGTATATAAAAATAAAGGCGTTGAAATTTCAACTATGCATGGATTTAAACATGTGCAAACACACACACATATGCAGTGGGATGCAAAAGTTTGGGCAACCTTGTTAATGGTCATTATTTTCCTGTATAAATCACTGGTTGTTACAATAAAAAATGTCAGTTAAATATATCATATAGGAGACACACACAGTGATATTTGAGAAGTGAAATGAAGTTTATTGGATTTACAGAAAACGTGCAATAATTGTTTAAACAAAATCAGGCAGGTGCATAAATTTGGGCACCACAAAAAAAGAAATGAAATCAATATTTAGTAGATCCACCTTTACAGAAATTACAGCCTCTAAACGCTTCCTGTGGGTTCCAATGAGAGTCTGGATTGTGGTTGAAGGTATTTTGGACCATTCCTCTTTACAAAATATCTCTAGTTCATTCAGGTTTGATGGCTTCCGAGCATGGACAGCTCTCTTTAACTCACACCACAGATTTTCAATAATATTCAGGTCTGGGGACTGAGATGGCCATTCCAGAACGTTGTACCTGTTCCTCTGCATGAATGCCTTAGTGGATTTAGAGCAGTGTTTCGGGTCATTGTCTTGTTGAAAGATGCATTGGTCTCCAGAAACTGCGGATGCTGAGTGGAATCCATGTGTCCCTCAACTTTTACAAGATTCCCAGTCCCTGCACTGGCCACACAGCCCCACAGCATGATGGAACCACCACCATATTTTTCTGTAGGTAGCGGGTGTTTTTCTTGGAATGCTGTGTTCTTTTTCCTCCATGCATAACGCCCCTTGTTATGCCCAAATAACTCAATTTAGTTACATCAGTCCACAGCACCTTATTCCAGAATGAAGCTGGCTTGTCCAAATTTGCTTTAGCATACCTCAAGCGGCTCTGTTTGTGCTGTGGGTGGAGAAAAGGCTTCCTCTGCATCACTCTCACATACAGCATCTCCTTGTGTAAAGTGCGCCGAATGGTTGAACGATGCACAGTGACTCCATCTGCTGTAACATGATGTTGTAGGTCTTTGGTGCTGGTCTGTGGGTTGACTCTGACTGATCTCACCATTCGTCGCTTCTGTCTATCCAAGATTTTTCTTGGTCTGCCACTTTGAGCCGTAACTTGAACTGAGCCTGTGGTCTTCCATTTTCTCAGTATGTTCCTAACTGTGGATACAGACAGTTTAAATCTCTGAGACAGCTTTCTGTATCCTTCCCCTAAACCATGATGGTGAACAATCTCTGTCTTCAGGTCATTTGACAGTTGTTTTGAGACCCTCATGTTGCTACTCTTCAGAGAATATTAAAAGAGGAGGGAAACTTACAATTGACCACCTTAAATACTCTTTCTCATTAATGGATTCACCTGTGTATGTAGGTCAGGGGTCACTGAGCTTACCGAGCCAATTTGAGTTCCGATAATTAGTTCTAAAAGTTTTGAAATCAATAAAATGACAACAGTGGCCAAATTTATGCACCTGCCTGATTTTGTTTAAACAATTATTACACACTTTCTGTAAATCCAATAAACTTCATTTCACTTCTCAAATATCACTGTGTGTCTCCTATATGATATATTTAACTGACATTTTTTATTGTAACAACCAACGATTTATACAAGGAAATAATGACTATTAACAAGGTTGTCCAAACTTTTGCATCCCACTGTACAGTGGGGCAAAAAAGTATTTAGTCAGCCACCGATTGTGCAAGTTCCCCCACTTAAAATGATGACAGAGGTCAGTAATTTGCACCAGAGGTACACTTCAACTGTGAGAGACAGAATGTGGAAAAAAATCCATGAATCCACATGGTAGGATTTGTAAAGAATTTATTCGTAAATCAGGGTGGAAAATAAGTATTTGGTCACCTCAAACATGGAAAATCTCTGGCTCTCACAGACCTGTAACATCTTCTGTAAGACACACTTTTCTGTCCCCCACTCGTTACCTGTATGAATGGCACCTGTTTGAACTCATCATCTGTATAAAAGACACCTGTCCACAGCCTCAAACAGTCAGACTCCAAACGCCGCCATGGCCAAGACCAAAGAGCTTTCGAAGGACACCAGGAAAAGTATTGTAGACCTGCACCAGACTGGGAAGAGTGAATCTACAATAGGCAAGCAGCTTGGTGTGAAAAAATCAACTGTGGGAGCAATCATCAGAAAATGGAAGACATACAAGACCACTGATAATCTCCCTCGATCTGGGGCTCCACGCAAGATCTCATCCCGTGGGGTCAAAATGATCATGAGAACGGTGAGCAAAGATCCCAGAACCACACGGGGGGACCTGGTGAATGACCTGCAGAGAGCTGGGACCAAAGTAACAAAGGTCACCATCAGTAACACGTTGTAGTGTGTTACTGATGGTTACAAAGTATTGAGTTGTATTTTTGTTATTGACCAAATACTTATTTTCCACCCTGATTTACCAATAAATTCTTTACAAATCCTACCATGTGGATTCATGGATTTTTTATTCACATTCTGTCTCTCACAGTTGAAGTGTACCTCTGGTGCAAATTACTGACCTCTGTCTTCATTTTAAGTGGGGGAACTTGCACAATCGGTGGCTGACTAAATACTTTTTTGCCCCACTGTATATATACACCCTTTTGTGAATCGCTACCTCATTGTGGTGCATGGATTTGTGTGTCCCAGGGATCCCAGTGGGTAAGTTGTCTGTGTTGTCAAGGGCTTTGCCCTCCTGATAGGGTCTCCCATTGGTCCTGGTGAGACTAGTGACTGAGACATGGAATGTCACTTCTCTGCTGGGGAGGGAGCCTGAGCTACTGCGTGAGGTTGAGAGGTACCAACTAGATATAGTTGTGCTCACCTCAATGCACAGCTTGGGCTCCAAAACCAGACACCTGGCTAGACTCAGTCTGGAGTAGATCTTGGTGAGAGGCATCGGGCTGGGGGTGGCTATTCTAGTTTCCCCTTTGGTTTTTTCCAGTGGATGAGAGTTTTTTTTCCCTGCACCTTAGGGTCAGGGAATGGGTCCTGAATGCTGTCTGCGCTTATGTGTCAAACCACAGTTCAGAGTGCCCAACCTTCTTGGAGTCCCTGGGTGGGGTGCTTAAGGCTACTTAACCTTGGGACTCTGTTGCCTTTCTGGGACACTTCAATGCTCATGTAGGCAATGACAGTGAGACCTGGAGGGGTGTGACTGGGAGGAACGGCCTGACAGATCTGAACCCAAGCAGTGTTCTGTTACTGGACTTCTGTGCAAACCACAGTTTGTCCATGACAAACACCATGTTTGAACATAATGGTGTCCATAAGAAAGTAAGTTAAGTTTATTTATTAAGCCCTTCTCACAGACAGGCAGTCACAAAGCGCTGTGCAGAAAGTTTAAAATAAACAGTACAATCAATCGATCTTATACACAATGTAAAAGGTTAAATGTAAGTTAAAAAAAATAAAATAAATAAATAAATAAATAAATAAATGTAAGTTAAATAATGTGAAGAATATAAAATACATAGATCAACAAAATGCTTGTTTGAACAGTAAAGTTTTTAACTGATTTTTAAAAGAATCCACAGTCAACCATATGTAATTGTGGTGGTAGACTGTTCCACAGCCTTGGTGCAACAGACTGAAAGGCTCTGACCCCTTTCGTCTTCAGTCGTGTACGGGGAACAACCAACAGACTCTGAGTCTATGAGCGGAGAAAATGAGCAGCAGTGTATTTTATATGAAGCTTGGATAAATAATCTGGGGCCTGGCCATGTAATGCTCTGTATGATAAAACAAGAATTTTAAAACAAATTCTAAACACTATTGGAAGCCAATGTAAAGAATATAAGATGGGAGTAATGTTAGCACGCTTCCTAGAACGAGTTGGTAGACTGGCTGCTGCATTTTGTATTGCCTGGAGGAGAGAGAAATGTGATTTATCCAAGCTGGTAAACAGGGAATTACAGTAAACGTGATGACACAAATGCATGGATGAGATTTTTCCAGTTCATCTAAAGAGACCATATGTCACAGTTTAGAGATGTTTCTTAAGTGAAAGAAACAGGAACAAGACAAAGATATTACATGAAAGTCAAGGCCCAGAGAAGAGTCAAATATTACTCCAAGATTCTGAATACAGTGGGGCAAAAAAGTATTTAGTCAGCCACCGATTGTGCAAGTTCCCCCACCTAAAATGAAGACAGAGGTCAGTAATTTGCACCAGAGGTACACTTCAACTGTGAGAGACAGAATGTGAATAAAAAATCCATGAATCCACATGGTAGGATTTGTAAAGA